TTACTCCAACCATTTCGAGAGTGTTCCCTAATTCCAATTTCCAATTATTGCTATTATTTTTATTCGGTAAGCATTCACATCAGTATTAACAGATTGCTTTAAATTGAGGTCATGCGACAGCAAGTTTCATTAATACTTTATCCCTCTCATCGGTATTCTAGCCGATCTTACTAATACTTTCGTTTATAATTATTCTTCGGATTTCTAAGCTTGCCAAACTCTTTGCAAACGCTTTTTTTAAAAACAGTTCCAGTATACAAGTAATTATGAGTACTACTGTCAAATTCGCGTCGTCTAGATATTTACACTATTTACATTATTGGGACTATTGTCCACATCTTTGTTGCCATATTTATCACAATGTTTCGGACGGTGTACGCTCCGGCCTTCTTCACGTGGTTGGAATGTCGAACTGAACCTTTTATTTCGTTCGCTGGGGTAAACTGTTCTAGTGCCATGTCTAATGGATGTCAGTTACTAGTTATCGCCTGTTAATTCTCCTCTCCAAGTTCTCCACTGCCTCAACCAGGTATTGAACTCACAACTCATTGGGTCGTGTCACTGGATCTAACCAACGCCTTTATCCACTGTCCTTAAATAAAGGGTTCAGTCCGACATTCCAACCACATGAAGAAGGCCGGAGCGTACATCGGTCGAACGTTGTGATAAATATGGCAACAATGATGAGGACAATAGTCCGAATAATGTAAATAGTGTACATAATACTTCATCTCAGAAACATAGACAGATACTGAAGAAGGCCGGAGCGTACATCGGTCGAAACGTTGTAATAAATATGGCAACAAAGATGAGGACAATAGTCCGAATAATGTAAATCGTCATGCCTATTTGTATTTTTAATTTGCCTGAGCCAGTTTTCTGCATTTGTTAAGTTTATGATTTAAGGACCCATTTTTAGTTTTGCACAAACAGCATATCTTCCAATCTTTACAAGAGATGCTTTCAGATTTCTCAAGGCGCTTCAGAAATTCCCAAGAGTTTCAATAAGGATTGGTAATCATATCTCGAATATTTTACAAGGTTTCTCTTGCATAAACGACATATTGTTCAGTTTTTTGCACTTTATTCCTTTATAATGTGCTCTCTTTTTTTTTTTTTAAAAAATCAATACTAGGACGTAGGCGATCATGACTCTCTACAGCTTCCTTTTCTTTATTATTAATGAATTGAAATAGCGCCTGAGGAAACAAGGAGGAGTTGTTACACGCTGTCTTCTCCATGGTTTTCTATTCAGAGTAGTCCTTCTATTAGAGTGGTTAGGGAGTCCCGTCTCTATTACTATTTAATCCATATCTATGTGGAGAAAAATGGATACATGCCAAGTGCCTTTTTACAGAAGTGACCCCAGCAGAATAGACTCATCGATTCCACCTTGCGCAGTGACAACCATTAAGATCTACACAAACGAGGTCTGATCCAAAAGTATCGGCACTTGTGCTCTAAAAAGAAAACTACAATACATATCAATTCGGCATGTAATCTCCTTCGAAGTAGTCCTCTTTTGAAGCCACAGACTTAATCTTAGCGTCGTTTCTATTGATGGAAGAATTCCTGGAGCTCATTTGTTGTGATAGCGCATTCTCTTGGATTTTCTTGACGAATTGAAATCATTTTCCTTTCAAGTGAGATTTGATTTTTGAAGAGTAAAATGTCGCAAAGGGCGAGATCTGGGGAATATGCTGGTTCTGGTATCTGGGTAATGTTGTACTTGGCCAAAAACTTCTGCGCAACCATAGCCACTAATGGGACCTCTGTGGTGTGGTGAGGCGGCCACACTCTACACACTTTCCTTCCTAGCATTGCTATATACAACGGAAGTGAGCGTAAACGTTATAACGTAGTGTGCATGCGCGAGAGTGTTCAAAGTTAATCTTTGCCAAGCGGCTTTACTCTGCATACCTTAGCCCCGTAACTATAGCAACAATCTCGATACTTTTTGACCAATCCTCGTATATCTTAGAACAACGTCTTTAACCACTTAGCATATGCTCTTTTTCCTGTAGTGGCTATAGTTATTTCTTCGCTTGGATTGGGTGATATGCCTAAATTTTAAAGACCCATAGAAATTACATTGTTTTTAATTTTTTAGGGAACTTCTTATATATACTTCCTCTTCTATGCGCAGTATTCCTTCAGGACGTGGGTGATCATGACTCTTCACAACTTCCTATCATTTGTAGCTCTTAGAAACTTTTGTCTCTTTGCTAAGCCCCCAACATCCATTTTATCATTCATTTAGACAAGTTAGTTAGATATGTGGCCCGCTGCCTTCCTCTATTCATTTTGTCTTTGATATGTCCTGTGAGTGTCAAATACTCCTAGCCCTCTTTTTTCATTATGCATTCAAAAAGTTTCATCTGTCTCTTTCTGGTCCTGATTATAAGTGTCGAATTTAGGCTCCATCGTCATTTTTTTGCAGTGTCGAATCCAAATCATTTTGCCCAATTTCTAGTGAGTCTTTGTTTCTACACAGGCATGAATTAATGTGACGTATTTAGATATTATATGATTTCTTTCATATACTATCTCTGTATGGATGACATCTACCATTTTGTAGTGTCATATTTATTTTAGATTTGAATTATTTATTTTCATTTGCTTATTCATGTGGGAGGTTTGTGGTGGTTATTGTTAAGAACCAAATGCAATGAACTTAACTCAAATTTTCCCCGTCCTGAGTATGACTACATCCGCGTCCTGGGTAAGACGATAAACTACATCCGCGTCCTGGGTAAGAAGATAAACTACATCCAACAGCAACTCTTCTAATCAGCAGGTTTTGAGAAGCGTGGAAGCACCTCTTAATTGCTGGCGTTCCCAGGTCTACCCTGACCCGGGGTGGTAGCATCTGTTAGGGTCCCAGCCTTGGGAAAATAGTTAAAACCCATAGTAGGAGCAAAATATTATGTAAAAATAGGTTTTAATACCAGCAATACATTTTTGTAAATATTACTAGCAATGAATTTTTGAAGAAAAATTTATTACCAGCAATGAATTTTTGAAGAAAAAATATTACCATTTTTTTTTTCAAAAAAAATTTTGAAAAAAATATTACCAACATTGAATTTTTAAAGAAAAAATATTACCAGCAATGCATTTTTGAAGAAAAAAGTATTACAATAATATATTTTTGGAAAAAAAAACATTACCAGCAATACATTTTTGGAAAACATATTACCAGCAATATATTTTTGAAGGAAAAAATATGAGCAGCAATACATTTTTGAAAAACATATTACCAACATTGAATTTTTGAAGAAAAGAATTATTACCAGTAATGCTTTTTTGGAAAAAAATATTACCAGCAATAAAAATCTTGTCGGCATTAAAAAACTCATTGAAGTTGGTATGCCGTAAAACAAAATATACCAAAAAAAAAAAAAAAAAAAAAATTCCACAATTTCCTCCATATTCTTACAAATTTAAATAAGATTTGTTTTTAATACCGTCTGTGTAATCATTGCAGTATCTTTAGATGTGTCTTTAAAACCGTTCTATTTGGCTGATTATTATAGGTAGCACAGGTATCGTTTTATTGTATCAATTTTGCAGCTCTTGAGCAAGGTCTTTTCATCTTATTTATATAAAAGAGGAAATAACCAAGAATCTAAATTTAGTAATAATGATAATGATGGCGTCATTATTTTTTATTTTTATTCGTGTCATTTCCACCTCAAGCAAAGTAGATTTCCAATGAATATCGAAGGAAATTGATCATGGCAATCACAAAGCTTGTTGTGAAGAGCTGTATCGGCCATTTGTGATGAGATGTGCACTGGATAGATATTGGAAGATGCATGATTGCTATCGTCATCAGTCTTATTATCAGAGCGTTGATTGAGACGTATAAGGGCGACGATGGCGCAGGAACAAGAGAGTAGTGTGAAGAGAAACTGTAGACAATGAACTGAAGAAAAAAAAAGGTAAGAATGTGAGAATCAAGGAAAATATATATGAATAGGAAATAAATGCGCCGAAGGAAATAAGTTAGGATGAATAAAAACAAAGACGTGACGTATTAAAAAAGAAGAGAAAGAAACCAATGAAAAAAAAAAAGAAAAGAAAAAAGGAAGGTGTTTATTGATAAAAAGACAAAAAAATCGTAGGGAAAGAATGCAAACAAGGAAAGAATTCCTGTATGGAGAAAGAAAGAAAAACATTAAAAATGAAGAGAAAGAAGAGAGAGAGAGAAAAATGGTGACAGCTTGATAATCTGAGTTTTAAAAAAATAGAGGAAGAAAGAAAATGAAAGTAGACACCGAAATGGGAGGGGGAGAAAGAGATAAGGAAATGGTAAATACTAAAAAGTTTTGGAAGAAAGCAAAATCAGAAAGAAAGAAAGAAAAAGGAAAGAAAAAAAGAAAGAAGGAAAGAAAGAAGGAAAGAAAGGAGAGAGTGAGCGAGAAAAAATGTGAGAAAAACTGCTGTAAATGAAAGAAAGAAAAGAAGCCAAAGAAGAGAGAGAGAGAGAGAAAGAGAGAAATGTAGGAAAGACTGCTGTAAAAGAAAGGAAGAAGGAAAGAAAGAAAGCCAAATGGGAGAGAGAGAAAAATGTGAGAAAGACTGTTGTAAAAGAAAGAAAGAAAGAAAGAAGAAAGGAAAGAAAAAAAAAAGAAAGAAAGCCAAAGGTGGGGGGAGAAAGAGAGAGAGAAGTGTGAGAAAGACTGCTGTAAAAGAAAGAAAGTAGTAAAAAAGAATTTTAAAGTAGAAAGTGTGAAAAGAGGAAAAGAAATATAAATGCAAAGAAGAGTGAATAAAAAGAAAAAAAAGCAGAAAAGAAAAAAAGAAAGAGAAAGGAACAAGATAATAATGAAATCATGAAAATTACAAAACAATTGATCAAGAAAAAAGAAAGGGTAACATTTTGTTTTTAAAAATGGAAAACAGAAAAAGAAAAGAAGGTAAAGGAAGAATGAGTATTGAACAAAAAAGAAAGAAACGAAAAAAGAAAGGAACAACGCAAACGTCATGAAGCTGTTTCAGGAAGAAAAATGATTAAAAGAGAAAAGTAGGAGGAAATAGAAAGAAAGAAGGAAAGAAATTGTGAAAAAAAAAAAAGAAAAATAAAGAAAGAAATGATTGAAGAAGAAAAAGAATGAAGAAGAAGAAATAAACCAATTCTAGGAAGGGAAAAGAAAAAAAAATGGGCATAAAAAAAGGCAAGATGAAAAAGTAATATATACTTTTAATGGCGTTCCTAATGAAGAAAACGTTTAAAAATATTCGATCAGAACGGACAATTGAATCAAGAAAAAATTAATGAAGTTTAAGAACTGTGGTAACTGTAAACAATTAGGAGCCAAAATTAGGAGCAAGTGTAGACAACGGCATAAAAAGAACAAAAAAAAGAAAAAAGAAACATGTGCTAAAAGGTAAGTAATTAAAAAAGAGAAGAAAACTGGGAAAATAAAAGAGAAATACAAAAAAAATTAAGAATATTCATGAAGAATAGTTCAGATAATAATTAAAGAAGGAAAAAGAAAAGAAGTATTAGAATTATAATGAATAAAATCATTAAAGATGAAGAAAGATATGTTGAAATGAGATTAGAAAGTGAGAAATAGAAAAAGAAAGGAACAAATAAAAAATTAAGAATGAGGAAAAGAGGAAAAAAAGAGAGAAATATTAAATTACATAAGTAAAGAAGAAAATGTAAGGCGAGAAAGAATGATGTCTATAGTGAATGAAGAAGAAGAAGAAGAAGAAAATGAAAGTTGATGGAGAACAAAGGATAGAGAGGGATGGAAAGAGGGGATTGACAGCAATAAAATAATTAGAGGAGAAGAGGGAGAAAAATGAAAAGAAAGAGGGGAAAGAAGAGGAGGAAAGATAAAAAGAAGAGAAAAACAAATAATAAAAAAAGGAGAGACAGAATAAAGCGAAAAGAGAACGATGAAAAACGTGGAAAAGAGAATAGGAACAAGAGCGAGAAAAAGAAGAGGAAAACATGGAAAAGAAATGAAAAAGAAGAAGAAGAAATAATTTTAGAGAGAATAATGTAGAAGACAAGAAGGACAAATATGAGCGAGTAATAAAAACTAAGAAAAAGTAGAAGAAGAAAAAAAGAAACAATAACATTGAGAAGAAAATAAAGTGAAAAAAGAAAAAGAAGATAAAATAAAATGGAGAGAAATAGAAAGTGTGATGGAGAAGGAAAACATAAGTGGGAAATAAAAAGAAAGAAAGAATAAGAATTGAAGAAAAACACACTGTATATGAATATAGAAAGAACGGAAAGAGAAAAGAAAGAAAAATATAAAGTAACAAAAAAAGAAAGGAAATAAAATAAAAGGAATTATAGAATAAAAGAAAGAGAAAGAAGGATGTAAAAAAATAAAAAAAAATATGTAAGGAAAAATAAAAAATAGCGAAGAAGTAAGCAAGATGAAAGAGAAACTGAAGAAAAGGATGGAAAAGGATAAAAGAAAGAAAATGCAGGAAGCTAATAAAAGAACAAAGACGACCAAAAAAAAATTAAAAGAGGGGGGGGGGAATACGAAGACGAAAACTAGGTAGTAAAATAAGGAAAAAGAAAGAAAAGAAAGCAGATGATGAGGAAGAAAGATTAAAAAGGGGGAAAAAACGAAAAAAAAAATGAAGCAATAGAAAAAAAAAAAAAAAAAGTACAAGAAGCACGAGTTGAAGGCGTCGTCGTTAATAACAGGACAAAGAAGAAAAAAAAATAGTTGAATAGACAATAATCAATTTGTTCTTTATTCCGGTTGGGCGTGAGCGATCAAAACGTCCCCTCCAGAAGCTAAAGACGGTGGCTTGGTGCAAAGAAAAATACTCACAGAAAAACTAACTCTTCTTCTGCTTCCTATTTCCAAAACCGTTGTTTTATCGCTTCAAAATTAAGGGGAAAAGTATCCCCGCTCAATTCATAAGGAAGTTTTGAAAGCGGTAAAAAAAGAAAAAAAAAAGACGAAAATAATTACAAAATAGATAAACTAAATAACTGAAACAAAAAACATATAAGAAAAATACAACGACCGGGGTTTTGTTTTTATCCATTTAACAAACAAAAGGAAGAAGTTAAAACCCGAATTGAAAGCCGAAAAATTTTCAGTTTACCTGGCTTTACGCTAGAAACGTAGAAAATAAAATGGCGGACGGGTATGTCTGCGTACTTAATGCAATCAATGTAAATATATTTCTCTTTACTTTTCCCTGCTTGAGGTCCACCACCATCTGCTTTTTTTTGCTCGCATACTTTATCTTCCTTTTACTTCGTATTAATTCGGAATAGCTTCCGGTCTGAATTCTAGTCATTAGGAACAACTGATATTTGTCGCTGACTCGCGGTAAGTCCTCTAACCACCGGCAAAGAGGGATGACAATTTCCCAATTTTACTTACTGCTTTTTCTTTTCCTTTTTTTATCTCTTGATTTTTTTGCCGTTCCTTATTCTAATTTCTTCTTCTACTTATGTCCCATGTGTTTTTATTCTTATTATTCATTCCTTATTATGACATCATTAGCGTCATCATTGTTCACTAGACGTCGAATTTCTTTTCCTTCATTTTCCTTCCCGATTGTCTTGTGTTTCTTTTGTTTTTTTTATCGTTTCCGTTCCTTTCTTCCGCCTCCTTTTGACATATATGGCTGTCATCTGGTTATTACAAAAATGGTGTCAAGATCCCAATGATAACATATCAGAAATACTTTTGGAAATGTTATTAATGGATAGTTTCATATTTGCCTCTCCCAATTTCTAATTATTTAATTTCTAATTGCTGCCCGAACATATCGGTTGCTATAGCTACCACCAAACCGATTTAGGACGACTACTACGGCTTCTACTACCCCAACTCCAATTTAGAAACAAAAACTCTTATGATGAATATGAATTTGAAGACAATAGCAATTTCAGGTCTAATGACGATAACCTCAAAAGATAATATTATTAAACATCATATTTTATCTTTGCCTCTTCCCTACTTTCTGAGGTAGGTAGCACGCATGTTGCGCGCTGTCAATACCAAATAAACAATGGACTATTCCGTTTTGCTCGCGAGGAAACACGGAAAAGACATATCAGCGTCTCTGGTTGGTTTTAGTGAGAAGAAAGAAAGAAAGAAAGAAAAGCTAGAGGAGGCGTTAATACTCTCACGGATTTAACGTCTGCTTCAGTGAAATGGATAAACTTTAATTTAAATCTTTTCATTTGCACCCTCATCTTTAAATAATGGCCTGTATTCATACTCATGTTTGTTAGTACGATATTTGATTAAAGTTGTTAAGCTTAAATATTTAACGACGCAATAGGGGAATTTCCAAGGGTACACCGCGAAGAGTTTATTTATTTATTAGATATCATGATACATCCGAAAATTCAAATAGAAAAAAAACCGTCAAAGTTTCGCAGTTCTGTTTTTTCTTTAATTCACTCAAGCGTAAGAGCAACTCAAGGTAGGGGGTTACTGAATAAGTATTTTGTTGGGGTGTAAAGGAGTGGGAAAAAGAAGTAGAGAGCGTATATTATAAAGATATGTAGGACAGATATCGGGTGACCCTACACTTGAAGATGTTAAGATTGTAGTGGTCGGAGAAGCATCTTTTCGGGAGTCTGTTCCACAAAGTATCAGTTCTGGGGAAAAAGCTTCCCGTGTGGAGCTTACTACTAACCAAAGAAGTACGAAGGAAATAGCAATGATGTCGTTTAGGTGGCATGGTGGATTCTAGCTGGGAAGGTCTGAACTAGTGGAAGTAAGGAAAGTAATTCGTCATTACCAATGTCGTTATTAAATTGCATTTTAAACAATAAACTTATCCTAAACAAACATTGAGATTGACAATAGTTTTAAGATTATACTTCTACTTTTTATGCATAGTGTTCCTTCAGGACGTGGAATTGGTGGCTCTCCACAACTTCCTATTCCTTGTAGCTTTAAACAACTCTAAAATCCCTCGTTGTCCAATCCAATCTCTACCAATCATTCACACAAATTAGTTTCGTAGATTACTGCTATTTCCATCTTCTCTTCTTGTCGTCAATATATCCTGTGAGTATCAAATTCTCCAAACACTCTTTCTCTTATTGCGTGTATCAGAAAGTTCACATGTCTATCACTTCAAATCTCTTCTACATCTGTAAAGGCGTACGGGCACATCACGTTGAAATGACAGTGTCCTTAAAATCTCCAAAGTTAAGCAATGTTGAGCCTGGTCAGTGCTTAGATGTGTGTCCACTATGGAATACCAGGTATTGTAAGTTTGAATGTGTTGATGGTGTAATGGATAATGGCTCGGAATTGTCATTCGGAGAGCCATATTCCAGTTTCCAATTCGTTCGTTATATTCACTTACACGAAAATACCCTTGCAAAAGGTATGACTCTCAGCTATGCGTTAATTAGTAAAACCTGTATAACTAAACCATTATTATCTCACCTTCTCCCAAATTCTTAGAATCGAAAAATATTTTCTGGCTTTAAATAACCTGCAATGTGTTGATAAACCGTAAAAAACGAATCAATCAATCCGTATGCCATGAAATTATCCTGCATTCCCCACTCTATTTATTATTAGATATGACGTTTTAATTCAGGATACTTTCCTTTGTTTTTTTGTTTTTTTTATTGGTTTAGTTTGGTTTATTTTACGGCATATCAGCCTCAATAGGTCATATTTAATGTTGACAAGATTTTTATTGCTGGTAATATTTTTTCTTCAAAAATGTATTGGTGGTAATATTTTTTTCTTCAAAATTGTACTGCTGGTAATATTTTTTTCTTCAAAAATGTATTGCTGGTAATATTTTTTTTATCAAAAATGTATTGCTGGTAATATTTTTGTCTTCAAAAAAGTACTGCTGGTAATATTTTGTTTTTTTCAAAAATGTATTGTTGGTAATATTTTTTTTCAAAAAATGTATTGTTGATAATATTTTTTTCTTCAAAAATGTATTGTTGGTAATATTTTTTTCTTCAAAAATGTATTGCTGGTAATATTTTTGTCTTCAAAAAGTACTGCTGGTAATATTTTGTTTTTTTCAAAAATGTATTGTTGGTAATATTTTTTTCTTCAAAAATGTATTGTTGATAATATTTTTTTCTTCAAAAATGTATTGTTGGTAATATTTTTTTCTTCAAAAATGTATTGGTGGTAATATTTTTTCTTCAAAAATTCATTGCTGGTAATATTTTTACAAAAATAAAAACGTATTTTTACACTTTCATAGTCTTTTGACCCCAGTTTTGGGCTTAGCTATTTGCCCTTGCTAGAACCCCAAAAGGTGCTATCACATCGGATCAAGGTGAACCTGGGAACACCAACAATTAAGAGGTGGTTCCATGGTCCTCAAAACCTCCTGATCAGCGGCCTTGCTGTTAGACGTAGTTTATCGTCTTACCGAGGTCGCTTGATTTTTTTAAAATACTTTGCTTACTTCCTGGAAGACGTATTTGGCTATTTTCAAACACCTTCAGGCTGAAAGAGTAATTAGACAATTTACTATACCGAAAGCAAGATGAAAAGACCGTTAGTTGTAAGAAGAAAGAATGCAGGTTTGTGAGTAAAAAGAAACAACAAAATTGGAAACGTCAAAATGAAGACAGTATAGACATGTATCTATACGAGAAACTTCGCAAGAGATGGCAGAAATTAGGATATATAAATCTAAAGTCTCATAGGAATAAAGAAATATGTCTTCCATAAACTAAAAATAAACAAATGAAAAAATTAACATAAAAAATCCAGAGATAGAAAAGAAACGACAGCTAAACTGCTATGTAGTATCGAATCTCTAAGATGGCAGTGTAAATAAAATAAGGAAAGGGAGCGAGAGTGATCTACAGTTAAAAAAAGGGGATAAATGCGAATAAATATATCTATGAAGAAATGTATCGTAAGCTATGAAAATTACGAAACAGGAGAGCTGAAATGGTGCCAAGATTATCACATATGTGAGCGTAAGTAATAATATAATTCGGTTCTATGAGAGACACTGAAAAAAGGAAACAGGATCAATAGTAACGAGAGCAAACTAATAAATGAGACAATGAAAATGAAAATAAAGGGTAAGTACCATTGGGAAAAGGATACGAAATAACAATTGAAAAAGGACACTGAAAACTGAAAGGGATTTATAGCAATAAGAAAAAACCATGAAAAAAGGACAAAGAAAAAGAAAAAAAGAATAAATTTAGAAGAGGACAATGAAAGCGAAAAAGGGATCAGTAGTAATAAAAATAAGATTTGAAAAAAGATACTGAAAAAGAAAAGGGGTCAGTAGCAATAAAAATGAAATTTGAAAAACGACACTGAAAAAGAAAGGGGTCAGTAGCAATAAAAATAAGATTTGAAAAAAGACACTGAAAAATGAAAAGGGTCAGTAGCAATAAAAATGAAATTTGAAAAAGGACACTGAAAACTGAAAGGGGTCAGTAGCAATAAAAATAAGATTTGAAAAAAGATACTGAAAAATGAAAAGGGTCAGTAGCAATAAAAATGAAATTTGAAAAAGGACACTAACAAAGAAAGGGGTCAGTAGCAATAAAAATAAGATTTGAAAGAAGACACTGGAAAATGAAAAGGGTCAGTAGCAATAAAAATGAAATTTGAAAAAGGACACTGAAAAAGAAAGGGGTCAGTAGCAATAAAAATAAGATTTGAAAGAAGACACTGGAAAATGAAAAGGGTCAGTAGCAATAAAAAATGAAATTTGAAAAGGACACTGAAAAAGAAAGGGGTCAGTAGCAATAAAAAATAAGATTTGAAAAAAAGACACTGAAAAATGAAAAGGGTCAGTAGCAATAAAAATGAAATTTGAAAAAGGTCACTGAAAAAGAAAGGGGTCAGTAGCAATAAAAATAAGATTTGAAAAAAGACACTGAAAAAGAAAGGGGTCAGTAGCAATAAAAATAAGATTTGAAAAAAGACACTGAAAAATGAAAAGGGTCAGTAGCAATAAAAATGAAATTTGAAAAAGGACACTGAAAAAGAAAGGGGTCAGTAGCAATAAAAATAAGATTTCAAAAAAGACACTGAAAAATGAAAAGGGTCAGTAGCAATAAAAATGAAATTTGAAAAAGGACACTGAAAAAGAAAGGGGTCAGTAGCAATAAAAATAAGATTTGAAAAAAAGACACTGAAAAAAATGAAAAGGGTCAGTAGCAATAAAAATGAAATTTGAAAAAGGACACTGAAAAAGAAAGGGGTCAGTTGCAATAAAGATAAGATTTGAAAAAAGACACTGAAAAATGAAAAGGGGCAGTAGCAATAAAAATAAGATTTGAAAAAGGACACTGAAAAAAGACACTGAAAAATGAAAAGTGGCAGTAGCAATAAAAATAAGATTTGAAAAAGACACTGAAAAAAGACACTGAAAAAGAAAAGGGGTCAGTAGCAATAAAAATAAGATTTGAAAAAGAACACTGAAAAAAGACACTGAAAAAGAAAAGGGGTCAGTAGCAATAAAAATGAAATTTGAAAAAGACACTGAAAAAAGACACTGAAAAAGAAAAGGGGTCAGTTGCGATAATAATAACATTTGAAAAAGGACACTGAAAAAAGACGCGGAAAAAGAAAAGTAGTCAGTAGTAATAAAAATAAGATTTTAAAAGGACACTGAAAAAAGACACTGAAAAAGAAAAGGGGTCAGTAGCAATAAAAATAAGATTTGAAAAAGGACACTGAAAAAAGACACTGAAAAAGAAAAGTCGTCAGTAGTAATAAAAATAAGATTTGAAAAAGGACACTGAAAAAAGACACTGAAAAAGAAAAGGGGTCAGTAGCAATAAAAATAAGATTTGAAAAAAGAAACTGAAAAAAAGACACTGAAAAATGAAAAGGTGCCGTAGCAATAAAAATAAGATTTGAAAAAGACACTGAAAAAGAAAAGGAGTCAGTAGTAATAAAAATAAGATTTGAAAAAGGACACTGAAAAAAGACACTGAAAAATGAAAAGGGGCAGTAGCAATAAAAATAAGATTTGAAAAAGACACTGAAAAGGAAAAGTAGTCAGTAGTAATAAAAATAAGATTTGAAAAAGGACACTGAAAAAAGACACTGAAAAAGAAAAGGGGTCAGTAGCAATAAAAATAAGATTTGAAAAAGACACTGAAAAAGAAAAGGAGTCAGTAGTAATAAAAATAAGATTTGAAAAAGGACACTGAAAAAAGACACGGAAAATGAAAAGGGGTCAGTAGCAATGAAAATAAGATTTGAAAAAAAGGCATTGAACAATGAAAGGGATCCGTATCACTGACAATAACCTTTAAAAATGGACACAGTAAAAAGGATGAGTATCACTGAAAAGAAAAATGAAAATCAGTAGCAATAAAAATAACAATTGAAAAAGGACACCGAAAAAGAAAAGGGGTCAGTAGCAATAAAAATAACCATTAAAAAGGGATTTTGAAAAATTATAAGGGCTGAGTATCATTGGAAAAGTACAATGGATGTGAAAAAGGATATTGAGAAAGAAAAAGGATCAGTACCATTAAAATATTAATGCTAATTTTAACACTTGTTTGATATATACAGGGCACGGTAGGAATTTCTCCCGCATATGCATCGTAGAAAAATTCACCCTATTTAATAGCAACACGTTATTAACAATGGCGTCTTCATTTCACTAATATCTTACGATAATGCGCACGGTATTTCTTCCGCATCATGTATTATCCAGTTATGATCGACTTTTCTTCTCTGGCTCTATACCGTAATGCTTCAAATTTAATAAACATCAAGAATCTGATAGTAAGTTAAGGCGTATAACGGGGCTTGTTGTCACTTGTTTGTAAGTAAACGCCTCCGGATATGGGTATAGAAATCCACAAAGAATATGAATAGTTAGTCAAATAGATTTACTCTTAACATTGTTACTACTACAGCTAATAGTAATGAAAGGCATAAAGCGACGAGGAGGAAGAGATAGATAGATAGATAGATAGATAGATAGATAGATAGATAGAGAGAGAGAGAGAGAGAGAGAGAGAGAGAGAGAAAGAGAGAGAGACAGTAAGAGATAAACATAGAGAGAGAAAGAAAGGGCAGGTAAAAATGTTAGAAGTCATATAGAGATTCCAAGATGGAATTTTGCATATACTATACTGACCGCTAGGCATTTGCTCTTTTGATTAGATTCCCAACTAGCCACTCATTAAGAATTGATATCGTTCGACTGAGATGACGCCATTTAGAAAATGTCCTCAAAGACACAGAGAAAGGAAGAGATTACTAAGAGATTTCATAAGATCCTCTTTTAGTGATCTCTCTTTCTTTCACTGTCTCTTATGGGGGTTTTCTCAGTGTAGCTTAGATGTGGCACAAAGCCAAAACTATGGGGGTAAACCCAGTGAGGATCGAACACTCACTAGTAATTGTTTGACAAGCTTGCTAACCATTACACAACGTCGAGGGACCTTTTCTGTTACTTATGAGAAAAGATGTGTTTGTCTTCGATTCTCTTTTGTTTGTTTGTGTGTTTTCTAGAGAGAGAGAGAGAGAGAGAGAGAGAGAGAGAGAGAGAGAGAGAGAGTGGTGTGACAAAAAGATGAAATAACAAAAAATAGAAAGAAGTGGGAAAAATTAAAAAGATAGAGAGTATATCTATCTATGTATCTATATCTATCTATCTATCTATCTATCTATATATATATATATATATATATATATATATATATATGTAAAGTGATTGAAGAGTAACTCCCTCGTAAAAATTATAGTTAGACGGAAGAGTCCATCATATATAAAATAGTTTTCAATCACCCTATATACATATTTTCCTGACGATCCGCTTAGGTGAAACCTGGGTAGGTTTGTCTGGCTCACTAGGTTTATCTAGGTCTGCTCTACGGTTGTATTGAGCTCTTTTGTTAGTTAGTTGTTTACTCGTATCGGTTTTTTTTTCTTTGGGCTTCAAACCTGTATATGTGCGATTTTTTTCGACAGACTTTCATTTTTCTAGCTCTTTCTTTTTATAAAACCTTTTTTTTTGCCCTCGAGATTGATTTGATTATTGGCAAATAAAAAATTCGAGGGTTTTTCGAAACGAGTATAGTTATCTTTATTTGTATATATATATATATATATATATATATATATATAAAGAGAGAGGAGATAGATAGATAGATAGATAGATAGATAGATAGAGAGAGAGAGAGAGAGAGAGAGAGAGAGAGAGAGAATGGACAATTTTACGATCACCAAGGACCAGCAATAAAAAGCAAAAGGGCGCCTTGACATAGTCTTGTGGTTAGCATGCCATCTTAGTTGACTATTTATTAGCACTGACTAGTGAGTTAGCTTCTCACTGGGTGTCCATTACTTGTGCCATTGCTCCAGACTATGCATAGTCAATGACAACAATAAAAAGAACATAATTTACGTTCCAAAGATTTTTGCAATACGTTGCGTCAGCGAGTAAAGATCTTTTATGTTTTTTTTTCTCCTTTCGCTTTTTATAATTTCGAAATGTATTTAAGCCCAGAGAAATGTGTTTGCATTCGCGCGTGCACGCCCTCCAAACACACATTCCGACTCTCTCTTTCTCCCACCTCTCTCTCTCACTCACTCTCTCTCTCTCTCTCTCTCTCTCTATATATATATATATATATATATATATAAACTACACGCCATTTTGATGTATAGAATAAGACTCTTTCCTTTTCCTTTCTTTTTCAGGTGAATTCAACTGGAGAGAATTGCGTCGAGTGAGTTGTTCCCTGTTGGCTCGTGTTGAGAGCCGAGCAGACAGCACGTCATATTTTATCACGTGAATGTGACGTCACCGGGGAAATGAGCCGTCACTGTACATTGCGTAATTGTCCTCCTCCTGGAGAACGGGTGCTAGGTCATCTGGCCGACCAGGCGGCAGGCTGGGATTTTAACTGAAGGGACTCACTGACGTGGAAATTGAAAAGTTGAGTGGGATTTTTAAAGTATAGGGGAAAGATGGAAGATGACCTATGTATACCTGCGTTGGCTCGTGTGGGGTTGTGTAGACTGTATGCGTGTGTGTTTGTGTTGGACGGAAAGGGTGAGAGAAATAAAGAAAGCGGTAATGAAAGAGTGAGAGTGAAAGAAAGAAAACGAGAGGGAAGAAAGAGAGATAAATGAAACTCGAGAGAGAGAGAGAGACAGAATGAGTAGGAGAGAGAAAATTAGGGAAAAGAGTTTTTTAAAAGGATTTCGAGTGGGAATTTAATACGTGCTAGACTGCTCGCCAACCATTTTCTATAGGCAATTGAATATCTCAACAGGTCACTCATGAAGAATTGACAACGCAGAATATTGCTTGGTTTAGCTGAGATTGCTTAGAAAATCGTCAAAGAGAAAGTGAAAAAGAGATTGATAAAGGTAGCAGTTAGAATGTGCCCGTGAGAGAAAGATAATTGCTTGATATTTTGTTTTGGTTTATCAACCCATTTTAGGCTACTTAAAGCCGAAACATATTTTAGATCTTTAAGAATAATTCTTTTTTTTTTCTGATTAAATGTTCCATTAACAATTCTTTTGAGAAAAACAATGATTAATTCGTACTATTTAACCTGTAACTGGGATGGAGGAGATAGATTCATGCTTTTCCTAACGGATGCTGATGCTGACCTCCAGAAGACTGGCTCATTGCGCCTTTTAGGATGAACGTTTTCAGCTGAGAATTGGAAAGAACCAATTGAACCAATTGTTAGGTCTGCTACTAAGAAAGTTAGTTCACCGTATTGAGCTACCCATTTTTATCTCTCCAGAATCTGTCTTACCTATTTGTAAGTGTCCCGCTAAATATTTAGAGATTCTTGATAAACTACAAAGAAGAATCTGCAATGTTATTGGTTCCGACCTGGTATCTCGGCTTCAGTCATTTTTTCACCTCCGTAATGTAACTTGCGTGTGTCTCTTCTATAAATACTCTCGCGATAATTGTTCTGATGAAATTTGCTCAATGGTACCTAGACTTGATGCATTGAAATTATTAAAATTCAAAGTTGACTGGAAAGTAAGAAAATGGAAGAGAGTCCCACAAGCGAGTAGTGCGAGAGAATAAACTGTTAGCATAGAACTTACGGTTGCATCTCGCCATTTCAACGGCATTACGACTGAGTAATAAATTCGGTCCTCACTCCGTGTGCGCGTCCTTGAGCCATATCTAAACTCCGCATATTAAATCACTATATTAAAAATAACATATCCAGAAAAGATAATATCATCACATGAACAAATTTATAATTTTATGCAAACGCGTTGGAGACTATTAGCAAATATCGTACACGCATTACAATTTGACACTGTTGTTAAATGAAGGCAAGTCCGCAAGCCATTGCTCGTGAGTTCGATCCTTACTGGATTGCCAACGATTGTAGCCGAGTGCAAGATTAATGCATTTACTACGAACATTTTATAGCCATATTTCATATTATTATGCGGTCTTAAGCATTTAGTGTTGTACCGACCATGACACAATGCCGTTCAGCGAAGAGGTACTTTAAGGTCGTGAGTTCGATTCCTACGTTGTGATTTTTGTCTCAAAGTAGTCACCGTAGATTCTTACCAAGATGTTTAAATCTCAGTGGACCCGCCCCTACTTCTCTCGTGCAACGTTCTTAGATTGGTTAACATTTGAAAGCCTAGCTCTATTCCAGCTGAAAAGTCTAGGTAAGTTATGGAGGACGCTAAGTGACATGAATTATTTAGATTTTCAGCTAACCTGCTGAATATTTATGAGCATTTCTTAAAGTGAAAAAAGTGAAAACATCTATTTTTGCTCTTGTCTATAAATTCTTGTTATTAATTAAAATCCTTGCATTTGCCTTGATAAAGTCACTCAGAGGATGAAATGTGTCCACTAAGATAAATTTTCCTTTTGTCTTTATATATATATATATATATATATATATATATATTGTTTAAACGGATCGTCTTCTGAAATACGAGTATTCGCTAAAAATAACGTTTAAAGTGAAAAAAATCTGTCGGATTAATAAATTTAGAAAAAATGATCTTTTTACGCTTGGATACGAAACTGTGCGGATGAGAAAATTCGAAAGATATATATCTAGAAAAATTTTGCTTAAAGGCACAAGTTTGGCGCGTATTGGCTGACGGATTCTCCGCAGGTCTGTTTATTAGAGAATGCCATGGTTAACGGTAGATTCATCTGCTCTGGAGGACACATGTTCGAATCCTTCCGGAGATCACAAATTTTTCTTTTATAAGATTTCTCGAAGCTTCAGGCACGTAGACGAAGATTAATAAATATATTTTTAATAAATAAACTAGCGTCTACTCAAATACCAGTATCCACTAAAATAACATCTACGGTGATTATATATATATATATATATATATATATATATATATATATATATATATATATATATATATATATATATATATATCTGAGATGAGATGAGATATTATGATGACTTGCATTATTTGGACTGTTATCCTCATCTTCATTGACATATTCACAACGTTTCGGCCGTTATACGCTCCGGTTTTCTACCCCGGCGGAGGAAATAAAAGGTTTGGTTCGAAACTCCAATCATCTCAAGAAAGCTGGGGCATACAACAACCGAAACGTTGTAAATATAACAACGAAGATGAGGATAACAGTCAGCGTAATGTAAATAATGCAAGTCATATATATATATATATATATATATATATATATATATATATATATATATATATAGAGAGAGAGAGAGAGAGAGAGAGAGAAATTATAGTAGTTTTAAAATGCGTATAACTTCAGTTATTTTTCATTTTCTCTCGCACAATAAATGCGTGTGTGTGTATGTATGTGTGTGTTTCTGTGTATTGATCTGTGTATATGTTTGTGTGTGTATGTCTGCCTGTGTTTGTTTTTTTGCCGCGTCTGTATGTACGTAAGTTTGTGCCTATATGCTACATACGTAGGTGTGTTTAGCTTATACGACATACACTTCCGTATATTGTTTTTATTTTGTTCTGCATTTTTAAGGTGGATGAAAATAGGGGCGTTTTTGCTCATTCGTCGGCACAAATCGAATACGTGTGTATGCACGTGTAAATTGGAACACATTTAGATGTCATCTTT